GGTGGTGCGTGTGCGTGTGCTGTCTGTGCACGTGTTGTGTTGCTATATTGGTTTGACTGTTTGTGGTATGGTGGTGCGTGTGCGTGTACTGTCTGTGCACGTGTTGTGTTGCTATAGTTGTTTGTCAGTTTGTGGTATGGTGGTGCGTGTGCGTGTGATATCTGTGCACGGGTTGTGCTGCTATAGTTTTTTGGCTGTATGTGGTATGATGGTGCGTGTGCGTGCGATGTATGTGCACGTGTTGTGTTGCTATAGTTGTTTGTCAGTTTGTGGTATGGTGGTGCGTGTGCGTGTGATGTCTGTGCACGTGTTGTGTTGCTATAGTTGTTTGACTGTTTGTGGTATGGTGGTACATGTGCGTGTGATGTCTGTGCACGTGTTGTGTTGCTGATAGTACGCCTATTGCGCTGTGTGCGTGTAGTGAGTGTCATTGGCCCTGAGAGTATAGTCCTTTCACTGACTCTGCACGTGTTGTGTTGCTGATAGTATGCCTATTGCACTGTGTGTGTGTAGTGAATGTCATTGGCCCTGAGAGTATAGTCCTTTCACTGACCTCTGCACGTGTTGTGTTGCTGATAGTACGCCTATTGCACTGTGTGTGTGTAGTTAGTGTCATTGGCCCTGAGACTATAGTCCTCCCACTGACTTGCTGAGTCTTTTGTGGACCGCAGAACAAACCGTTACAGCGCCGATGCCACGGCTGCCGTTCTAAGCGACGTGCGCTTCAAATTCAACGGCGCCATTCACGAGACCACCCCCACAGCCACCCACACGCCCCTGACCCAATCAGATGTTTTGGCGCGCTTTGCCAAATTTGGCTCGAGACAGCGGCGGCTGCTGTTCGGCACTTCTGGGGTGTGTGCGCACGTGGACGCAGGCGGCAAACTCTACGGCGCTGTGGGCTATCTGTCACTCATGGTTGAGAACAAGCACAAGGTAACCCACCCCTACAAACAAACCCTACAACCCTACAATCCAAAATCCTAAAACCTTTGAAACTTTGTGCCAGTATGGGTACAAAGTTTCTGTTGCACTGATTGCACCAGTTGTTGTCTTGTGCCGCGTGTACCTTCGCAGCGTATGGCTTATTCAGTCTAATTAGTAAACCTCTGAGAAGGATATCATGCACGTGTTGTTTGTGTTAAATTTGAAGTGGTGGACGTTAATTCCAAAATTAAAACTGCTGTTTGTATAAATTGGATCTTATTACCCTCCGCTGGTTTTCCTCTCGCACCAGCCAATCGGACGTTCTTCGATTCCACACCCACAAGTTCTACTCTTACTTATGCATAGTTTATATAAG